TGCCCTTCCGCCAATTCACCGAGCCTGTCCCTGCCTCACTCCAGAGACCTGCAAAAGAAGCTTCCAGCAGTTGTTTGGCTGTAAGGTTTCCTAGGAAAGGAACTGTTGGGGGTGCTGGGGTTCCCCTTGCTCGCTGGGGAAGTGATGTGGGAATATCAGGAGCTCACAGTCATTCCTTGGCAGCTTTCCCATGGCTTCCTTTATTTATGTCACTCTTTTTCGGCCTGTAAGACCCTGGATCTCCTCCCCAGCACTGCCCTGCCCCTGCCTGGACTGAATCATCTCCCCTGCCCTGGCCATGGGTGGGATACCCTGAATCCTGGGCTCAGCTTTTGGCTGGCTGCAGGGAGACACTGAGGGGCTGGAGCGTGTGCAGGGAAGGGAAGGGAGCTGGGAAGGGGCTGGAGCAGCAGGAGGGGCTGAGGGAGCTGGGGGGGCTCAGCCTGGAGAAAAGGAGGCTCAGGGGGGACCTTCTGGCTCTGCAATCCCTGCCAGGAGGGGGGAGCCAGGGGGGGTCGGGCTCTGCTCCCAGGGAACAGGGACAGGAGGAGAGGGAACGGCCTCCAGCTGGGCCAGGGGAGGCTCAGGTTGGATGTTGGGAAGCTGCCAGGGCAGGGCTGGAGTCACATCCCTGCGGGGATTCAACAGCCAGTGGGTGAGGCACTTGGGGACAGGGGTCAGTGGTGGCCTTGGCAGTGCTGGAGAACAGTTGGACTCGATCTCAGAGGGATTTTCCACCCTTGATGATTCTGTGATTCCGTTACCCGAGGAGCAGAGGAATTTGCTCCTCCCTGGGTGGAAGGACAGGGGGCCCAGTGACACCGTGACTGAACGTGCCATCCCCTGGCATGGTGCCACCACCTGCCCTCCTCCTCCCACCCTGGAACTGTCCTGCTGGTGGGGGGGAGCTGCCCCTGGGGGGGTGTGGTCCCCCCAAAGCTGGGTGTCTCCCCAGGAGAGAGGAGCCCTCGGGGCCAGCCCTGAGCTGAGGCCACCGGGACAGTGTCCCTGTGTCAGCCCCGCACGGGGCCACAGGATGGAGCTGTTGGGTGGAGATGATGGGCACACGGGGCCACGGGATGGAGCTGTTGGGTGGAGATGATGGGCACACGGGGCCACGGGATGGAGCTGTTGGGTGGAGATGATGGGCACACGGGGCCACAGGATGGAACTGTTGGGTGGAGATGATGGGCACACGGGGCCACGGGATGGAGCTGTTGGGTGGAGATGATGAGCACACGGGGCCATGGGATGGAGCTGTTGGGTTGGGTGGAGATGATGGGCACACAGGGCCACAGGATGGAGCTGTTGGCTGGAGATGATGGGCACACGGGGCCACAGGATGGAACTGTTGGCTGGGCCGTGAGAGTGACGGGTGAGCTCCGAGGAGGAGGAAGGGGACAGTGCTGCGGGGTGACGCAGCTCCCACACTGGATGTGTCAGGGTGAAGCAGGTCCAGGGCTCATCACCCCTGGACAAGGGCACTTGCTGTCACTCTGCAGATCTGTCCTGTCCCAGGACTGAGAGCTGGGCTCCTGCTGGCAATCACTGCCGTGGATCCTCCATCCCAAGCGGGGTCTCCTGAGCTTGCCCTGCTCGCTCTCTGGGTTCCTCAGGCTCCAAGCCCTCTGCCCACGGCTGTTGGCCCCCAGTGGGCTTGGTCTGGCTCCTGTGACACCCGTGGCTGCCTTGACTCTGCAGGGAGGGGCAGCAGGGCCGCGGGAGGTGCCACTGCCACATCCTCCTCCCTGCTCTGAGGGCTGTGTCACTGCCGGGCTTGGGGGAGCAGGACAGGTTGGGCAGTGCCAGCTTAGCTCCCCGGGCTGAGGTTCATGGGGCTGCTTCAGGCCAGGGCACAAGTGATCCCTCCTTGTGGGTCACAGCACCCTGGGGACACATTCTGCCTCTGTTTGTGTCCCTTGTGGGGACTTTGTGTTCACCTTTGCTGCCCCCAGCCCTGGTGGGACAAGAGGGGACAGGGAGGGGACAGCTCCGGTCCTGTGGTGTGCCATCCTTCAGCAGAGGAAGCCGTGGGGTTCAGGTTCCCCAGGGCCAAACCTGGGGCTGTGTCCAGGACAAGCTCCATGTGAAGAGGTGGAAGGCTGGATGTGCCTGGAGGAGGGGGCCGGGGGTCTGTGTCCCTCTGAGCCCTGAGTCTGGCACTGCTTTTAACCGTGTCAGAGAGGGTGCAGCTCCCCAGGACTATCAGAGTTTCAGTGTGTGAGTGACAGGAATTGGCTGCGGGGGACAGGAATTTGTCTTGCAAAAGCTTGTCGTCCATCGGGGCTCGTGTTGCAACTGCAGCTCTGCCGGGGCAGGAAGGGGGGAAGGAACCGGCTGGTGATGGGGAAGTACCGGCGGTTCCAGTTGCCAGGGGGCAAATGGGGAGGGAGAGGAAAATAAAGCTCTGTAAGGGGAGAGGAGAAAGCAGGACAGAGGACGAGGGGAAGGGTCAAAGCAGAGGAGGGAGCTCCTGCGGGGAAGGAGAGTGGAGCCTGGGAGCCTCCAGCTGTGGCTGATCACAGCCCCCTGTCCCTGGGGTTGGCTTTGGTGTGGCAGTGCCCGCCCTGCCTGGCAGCTCTGCTGTTCCGGGCCAGCTGATCACCCTGAAAACCCTCCTTCCCCCGGCCCTGCCGCCCCAGCAGCACAGCAGAGCAGAGCAGTTTCACTTCTTGTTTGCAGACACGTTTCCTCCCCGCCCAGGGCTGGTGGCACCAGCACAGACACCGAGCTGTGTGTGGTGGCCACGGGGCCGGCTGGCTCATACCCAGCAGAGGAGGACATGGAGATACTGAGGGCTGGATCCCTCTGCTCTGGAGCCAGGCTGGGAGAGCTGGGGGGGCTCACCTGGAGAAGAGAAGGATCCAGGGAGAGCTGAGAGCCCCTTGCAGGGCCTAAAGGAGAGCTGGAAAGGGACTTGGGACAAGGGCATGGAAGGACAGGACACCAAGGGGAATGGCTTCCCACTGCCAGAGGGCAGGGTTAGATGGGATTTTGGGAAGGGTGGGCAGGCTCTGGCACAGGTTGGGCAGAGATGCTGTGGCTGCCCCTGGATCCCTGGAAGTGTCCCAGGCCAGGTGGGATGGGGTTTGGAGCGAACTGGGCTGGTGGAAGGTGTCCCTGCCCATGGCAGGGGTGGCACTGGATGGGCTTTGAGGGCCCTTCCAACCCAGCCCAGCCTGTGGCCAGTGCAGCTGGGCCCTGCTGTGCCCCCTCCCTGGGCTCTGTCCCGCTCTGCAGGGCACACAGGCTGAGCCCAGGCCCAGCAGCTCTGGGAACACCCCGAGCAGAGCAGCTGAGCAGGGCAGTGGTGCCTCTGGGTGTAAACCCCGTGTCCCCCCAGCCCGCGGTGCTGGGCAGGACGTGCGAGCAGGGAGCGCAGGCACCTCGGTGACCACGCGTGGTCTC